TGGGCATGGCTGTACCCATGGGAGGTGGTGAGTGATTGCCATTGCATCACTTTGGTTGCTTCTCTTGCTGCTTCTCTCTCTTCTCTTGCTGCTTCTCTCTCTTCTCTTGCTGCTTCTCTCTCTTCTCTTGCTGCTCCTCCTTTGCTTATTAAACCATTTTTATCTTGACTCACAAGTTTTCTTGGTTTTCCTCTTTCTTTCCTCCTCCCCCATCCTGCTGGGGGCTGTGGGGGGCAGTGAGTGCATGGCTGGCTGGTGTTTATCTGCCTGCCAGGGCTATCCCACAGCAGTCCTGGTGTTTCCAAGAGATATTTACTGGTAGGGCTGCCCTGGCACTCACTAGAAACACATTCTTCATGCTGTCCTACTTCAGTTACTCTTCAAAATAATGTTGTTTGTATTTTTTAATTAACACGTTCATGTCATTCTTTAGGGATCTGGGGCATTGGGGTCGCAACCCCGAATGCAAATTTAAACCAAATTCCCCTCGGGCAAGATGCTCATAGCCTGGTCTTAAGAAACGACGGAGCTCTCTATTACAACAACGAGGAGAGAAACAGACTGCCGGCCAACAACCTGCCTCAGGAGGGCGACGTTGTGGTGAGTTCCTGAAGGTTCTGTGCTTCCTGAGCTGTTCCCGGTTTCCTCTTTACAGCTCTGTGGTCAGAGTGAGTGTTTCAGTCAAATTGTTTGGCTTGCATCTCCCGGTTTGGAAAGTGCTGATTCCAAACTCCTGTTGTGTTTGAGCAGAGCGGCAGCCTGGGTATCAGTGGAGTTCATTCTCAACAGGGATATGTTTCTGAGTGAGGGACAGACTTTGCCAGTGTTTGAAAAGTAGCTTCTAGTGCTCTGTTGCAGTGTCTGCCTGGCTGATAAATCCCATCACAGGGATTCTGCGGTGTTTGAGGTGGGACCTTCCTGAAAAACTCATGTGCTGGAATGTGTTAGGTAGCTATGCACCCTGCCCAGCTCAACTCAGGATCTCAGAGCTTCCTGGTTAATGATTAGAAGGACAGAGCTGAGCAGAGAGAGGTTCTGGGTGATAAATTAATTGGATTTTTAGCCAAACTTCTGTCGGGAAGGAGAATAAGTGGAGGGTAATAAGGGGTTAATGCTCATTAGGAAAATGTTTAAGAATGAGGACAAATGGAGAATCTTCAGGGTTTTTTTGTACCTTACTATCCCAGGTTTCTCAAAACATCTGTAAGTGACTTTGTTCAAAGGGTTGTGTTTTATTGCTGTCATTTTCTCAATGCCCTGGTTGAGGTTTACTTTCAAAAACTCACAGGAGCAATGCAATGAGATCAAGACCATTTATCACCACTGCTTTTTCTTGCTGGGTCACCTTGCCTCTATGCAGCAATCGTTAGAAATTTCATCTTAAAAGCCCCAAACAGCAAAGGTGGACACCTCCATCCTTTACCCTCAGATAGTATATTATTCTTTTAATCCTCTTCTGAAATTGGATTGTAGACTGTTTCAGCTTGGTCAGCCTACGTAGTCTGAGCAGCTTGAACTAATCACAAAAAAGCAGCTGATGTGTCAGTGCCAACTCCCCACTTTTCCTACATCTCAATTAATTTTATTTTGCTGTGAAAATAAATTTCTGAAGTACTGAATGACATCACAAAGGGTCACACTCAACTATGCCAAAGCAGTGAGACAAATGGTGACAAAGAAGTGATTTGTTACCTTATTAGTGTTTGCTTTCTGCTCTGCAGCCATTTGTCCTGTAAACTTCCTGGTACTGTGCTGCATCCAAATGGAATGAGCATTAAGGAATCCTGAGCTTTTGAAAATACAGATATTAACTTCTAGTGCTCTGCAGGAATATTTCAAGTGAGGTTTTCTAGGATGCTGTGGTTTGTATAATGCTGCTAAAAGTTGCCTGTGGCTAAGCAAGCTCCATTAAGTAGCAATTTTATGAGTATGAACTTGTTGATGGTTTTTTTTGTTGATTTTTCTGTAGGGCATTACATATGACCACGTAGAATTAAATGTATATTTAAATGGGAAGAATGTGCATTGTCCAGCTTCAGGGATCCGAGGGACTGTCTATCCAGTGGTCTATGGTAAGTTAGAGATTTTCAAGCTGTTTCACAGCATGGACAATGTTTTTGTACCAAGTGTGTCTTGTGAGCTTTGTACCCTTCTTCTCACTTAAATATAACACACATCCATCGTTTATTTTTTGACAACTACAACAGTAAATTGCATAAAAATACAAACCCAGGAAAATACAAAAGTGTATTTTCACCTCTTTTTTTAATGCTGCTTAATAGCTAGGAAAAAAAAGCACTACTTACTGACTACTTAATGTCCACATCCAATGAGGTGGGGAGTTCCTGCACTCAGCCTAAAAATCACCAGGTAAAAAAAAACCTGTGAAGCAGATAGTGAAAATGAGAACCAACAAATTTGGACTAATGCAGTCTTGTGGAGTAATCTGATTCATCTGTGAAGCTAGGTATTTATGCCTATTAATTTCACATACTTCATAAATTAGGACATGGTTTAGTGTTGATGGCAGTGTTGGATTGACAGTTGATGACCTCAGATGTCTCTTCCAACCTCTGTGGTTCTAGATGCACTCAGTGTTAAATACAAATAGATGCTGAATTGCTGTTTGCATTTTCTTATGGAAGTTGTAACTTTAACATGGTACTATAAAGCTGCTTGCCCAGTTTTGAAATGAGACTATTGGTGAAGAAATGGTGGTAGCTGCTTTGCCAGCAACCATCCACACAACACAGCAGTTTTGAACAAGAAACAAGTGCCCTGTCCAATAAATCCCTGCACGGGCAGCTCAACAAAGCATTTATGGATTACAAGAGCTGGAATTTGGCCAAGAGATGTGTAACAATTTACTCTTCCAGAACCTGGCAGTGGTTTTGTAGTTCCCAAGTAGTCATTCCTGTGTGAGCTTCATCTAAGTAGTAGCCTCTTCCAAAATCATTCTCCTCTTGAGATACCATTGGCAACGTGATGTGGGTAAGTTTTGTCATTTCACTGTTGGTGCCTTCCCATTTACACCTTAACACACTTGTTATACTGAACTTCATGAACAGGAAGAAAATATTCTAGATGTGTTGTAGAGCCTTTGAAGTCTATGAAAGTGGCTGACAAATTCTATCTTTCCAAGCTGTTGGAGGGGAAATGGATTTATTGGATAGATGCTGTGGCAGAGAGCAGTGAGACCAGTGTCCTGAGCAGCAGGAGAAGAGTTGCTCTGGCAGAACTCATTGTTGTGTCTTCATGTGTTTTGGAAATGTTGCTACATAGCACAAAGAATTCAGGTTGCTTCCAGAGAACACATTTGGTGGCATGTTAGCCTGCTGTAGATCATCTTTTTCCTCTGACTGAAGAAGTTCTGTGTGCCTGGGGAAAGCAGAGACCTTTTATTGCCAGGCTCTTGTTATCATCTTCCACAAGTGGGCATTATTTCATTGTAAATATCAGGTCTCCTACACACAGCAGTTGAAGCCTGCAGATTGCTTTTCCATGATGCTTACTTGGTATAAACTTGAAAATATCTCTATAGATCTATAACTATAAATGTTATTTAATTTAATGTAAACCTGTTCTGCTCACGTGGAAGGATTTGACCATAGAGAAGAGAGTTTCTTAAGCATTTACCCTGTCCATAATTCAGACTAGAACCATAGAAATCTTTTTAAAAGAAACATCATACAGTGGGGAAATGTGGTGTCAAGCTTGAGAATGTAAAAGAGAGAAACAGGCTTTAAAAGCTTTTACCCTACAGCAGCTGTACCTTGGGCACTTCTGTGGCAGTGAGACACAAACCCTGCATAAATACTACAGAACTGTACAAATATACCAGTAGGAGTTTTAACTGAACCCAGGAAGGAAAAATTTCTACCTTGGCTCTGAGATACCTAAATTCCAAACCAAAATATGGAAATGAAGCTTTTCTGTTTTAATCTAATGTTGCTAGTGTACCAGGTTCATCTTGGAAGGAGTTGTCTTTGAAAGAGATCTTGCTTTTCTGACAGGTTGAGTATTCCTGTTTGCTAATACTCAAATACATGAAAGCTTTGCTCTGAAAATCATCAGCAGTTTCTTTTTTGTATTCTACATTGAAGGTAGTAACACTTGTGTCACAAATTATGCAGGGGGTCCAAAACTGGAAGAGATATTTTAAAAAACTTTTTTTTTTTTTTCACAAAAATTCCAATTTAAAGAAGGTCTCCTTGCACCATGTTCTAACACCAACCCTTGCAGACATCTGAAACTTGTAAACCTCCAAAAAAATAATTGCAGACAGCTGACACTCCAGCAGAATTAGGAAGTGGACAGAAAAGTATGCAGCTGAGGAGGTGCCAGCCCTGCAGTGTGTATCTGCTAGTGTCCTTAATTTGTAGATTTCTGAAGAAATAAGAGTAGAAAATTTGGAGGGAATGGACTGAAGCCCCAATAACATTCCCAGTGAAATCAGAGGTAGAATTCTGGTTGAATTCACCAAGGACCATTACTGACTAAAGTAAACAGCAGAAAAGAGAGATGATTTTCTGTCCTTGAGTATGTGTGTAGGACATTAACAAGTTTGTTGAAGAGACTTCTTTTAATTGTATTACACATCTAATGGATGTATTGGAGAACATTCTTCATGGTTTTTGTAATCTAGTAAGATGCTGTAATAGGGGGTCAAACTGAGTGTTCCTTCTCTGATTCCTTCTGTTTCTCTTCTGCAGTTGATGACAGTGCCATTCTGGATTGTCAGTTCAGTGACTTTTACCACACGCCTCCACCAGGGTTTGAAAAGATCCTGTTTGAGCAGCAGATCTTCTGAATGTCTTCGTACCGAAAAGTTGCACCCTGCACTGTTAAAAGAGCTTTGTCATCTTAAATAAAGCTTCACTTTATTTTCAGGAGACCTAGCTGTATGTTTAGCAAGTCCTTGTGACTGTGGTCCACAGAGTTAACATGTTCACTGCAGCACCAAGTAACTGCGTTGCAAAGATGAGATTTCCAGTGATGTTTTGTGGTGGAAAGTGAGCGTTTTGGGGCAGGGTTTTTCTCTGATTTGTACCAGATGCATAAAGAGACTAAGGGGTGTTATTGTCATCAGTATTAAAATCTGTGTTTTGAATAAAGCCAAGCTCTGTAAAATTAGTTCTTATGCATATGGTAGCTCTGGAGATGGGTAGTTCTAATATTTTTTCCCAATTTTTTTGTCATGCAGAAGTTCTGTACTTTGTTTGAAGGAAACCTGTTGTTTCTAGCCTGTGATTTAGAGTCGTGGTGTCCCAGTTGTGCACAATGACTAATGACAGGATGGCATAACTGGCAGCTAGGTGCTCTGTTTTTTGCCAGGTATAGTTTAATCTGTTCTCAGTCTTGGTTGGGCAGATAGAACTTGCCTATTTCTACTAGCTTTTCACTGGTTTTTATGGTGACAAAGGATAGGACACTTTCTAATAATACTTATTTGTTGAACCTTAAAAACTAACCCTGAGGACGAGCACGCTGTGTTACTCTGGTAGGAGAATAAGTACAGATCACTCAACTTGGATGTGCAAAGAGGCAGGTTAAAGTGATGAGATGTTACAGTGATGCCTTACACTTAAACTGTAAATTAGATTATTCTTTATGGACTAGTGTATTTAATTTCTTTGTGCATCGTTTATAAATTATTAATGGCTAAGACATTGTTCTAAAATGTGATGCTCTTGAATATAAATTTTGAGATGTTGTTTCCCCCTCTTTGTCATATGTAATATACTTCCTAGAAGAATCTTTATTGTGAAGAAAATCTTCATACTGGATGTTTGGTTTTTGATTTTTGGCTCTTCCTGTGTTAACGCATTTGCATAAATGAATTATTTTATTTAAATATTTTTAGAGATTATCCAATACAAAGATTTTCAAAGCCTTTCACCTTAAGATTTTCTGCATCTGTCTCTTCATTCTGAGTGGATGGCGTTTTCCTTCCTTTCAGCCTTGCCATCCCAAGAGAGTGATGCCCTTGCCAGCACTGGTGGAAAGCTTGGGAGATAAGAGAGCAGTGTTACCATCTCCCCTCCAAAGCTGCTCTGCTTCCCTGCGGCCAGACCCCTCACCTAAGATGATTGAAGCATTGATGTGTTTTGTTTCAGTTTCTCCAGGAGGTGTGGAAGCAGCTGTCCCTGCTGGGGCAGAGCCTTCTGTGGTGGGTTGACCCCTCCTCGGCTGGACAGGGGAGAGAAAGCATAACAAAAGGCTCGTGGGACAGGAGAGCTCGCTCTCTAATTGCCACCACAAGCAAAACAGATTTAACTTGGGGAAATTAATTCACTCCTAATCAAATCAGAGTAGGATAATAAGAAATAAAACCTTATCTTAAAACACCTTTACCCCCCACCCCTCCTTTCTTCCTGGGCTTAGCTTGACACCCAATTTTCTCTAGCTGCCCCTACCCCCAGCGGCACAGGGGATGGGTAATGGGTGCCGGGGAGGCAGCTTGTGAGAAGCGGGTGCTTCTCCTTTTTCCTCATTCCTGGCTTTTGCAGACTCCCCGGCGGGGTTTGGGAATCTCGCGGAGATTCCCCCCCGAGGTTTCGGTTCCTCGCGGGAGATTTAACGATAAGGGGAGCAATATATCAAGCACGGCTCTTCGGGGTTCGCGACCAGCTCCGCGGCAGCCCATCTCGCCAGCCCTAGGTAAGCTCCAGCCCGTGTGCTCACCCGCTCGGCTGAAGAACGCGGTAAAGGGG